CATAACCAAAATTTACTGTGCACTTATATTGTACTGTGGATTTTTTAAAAAAGGGATTATCATGAACTAACTCATTTAATCCCTTCATTCCATGAAGTAGGTACTATTAACATCCTCAGTTGAGTTTGCAGAAGAATCTCTGGGCCACTCCAACCCCCACTCATAATAGAAGGTGGAATTCATGAACAGTCATCTTCTGAAATATCCACATATGTATTACTTAATCTGGTCCTAATAGTGGTCATTTTAAATTTACTAAATTCACAAAAGTAGTTTTCCTTGTCAAACTCAATGCACAAATTATCCTAATTTTAGCTATCAATTTAAGGGGATCTGATTAATGTTTGACCAACCCAAACTTAACCATTTAAATTGTTTTACATGATTATTCTATTTACAAGGAAATTTCCTCGATGTTTACACTTACTTTAAAAATATTAATACTTTCGTACTTTTCAAATCGGGAAAATGCCTCTAGCAAAACAAACCCTTCCCAAGACCTGAGAATTTCCAATCCAATAAATTAGACAATTCCGGTGGATCGCAGGCGCTCTAAGAACGTTTCAATTTCAACTCATGCATTCATACATTTTAAAATGGTAGCCATGTTTACGTATCAGAACCTCAAATGGCAAATTCTCGCTCAAGATTACATACTTGTAATACCAGATGAATCTACCAGACTTCCTGGGATAAAAACTGCTCGTACTTGGTTGGCATCTAAATGTCACCGAGTGACACTTTGCAAAGCCCAAACTAGTTTGCCATGGGCAATAACATACACACCTCCAATGAGCGGGACTGAAATGCCAGAAGCCTCGGGGCGAAATTCAACAAAAAGGATTGCCTGTCGGGCAACATTCCCCACAGCTAACGAGCACGCAGCCCACGGTGTCCCTCTGCGCACCCCAATCATGTCTCGGGTTCGGCTTCCTGTGTGCCCTGCCTTGCACAGGAACGCACTCAGGAGGACGCAGGCCTCCGCCAGTACGGCTCTTTTCTCGAGGCTGTGGGTGGCTCTGAAAAGAGCCTTTGGTGTCACGGGGGCCCCCCCCGGGGCGCACGGCCGTTTCCGGCCCGCCTCCGCGGCCTCACTTGCCCTTGGCCTTGTGGTGGCTCTCCGTCTTCTTGGGCAGCAGCACCGCCTGGATGTTGGGCAGGACACCGCCCTGCGCGATGGTCACGCGACCCAGCAGCTTGTTGAGCTCCTCGTCGTTGCGGATGGCCAACTGTAGGTGGCGCGGGATGATGCGCGTTTTCTTGTTGTCGCGGGCGGCGTTGCCCGCCAGCTCCAGGATTTCGGCTGTCAGGTACTCCAGCACCGCCGCCAAATACACAGGCGCGCCGGCACCCACACGTTCAGAATAATTACCTTTGCGAAGCAACCGGTGCACTCGGCCAACGGGAAATTGCAGGCCAGCGCGCGACGAGCGAGATTTTGCTTTGGCGCGCGCCTTACCGCCCTGCTTGCCGCGACCAGACATCTTCGGCGTGAAGAGGGAAGAAAGTCGGAAAACGGGACCCCGAGAAACGAAGCTTCGCTGCGCTGTGAGCCCTTATATATGGTCTGGAGGTAGGGGAGCCGGTGCCACCCGATTGGGTAGCTATAGCGGCCAATCAGAAAAGGACACTGCCACTCCCTAATTTGCATGTGCCTTTTCTAG